GCTAAGGCAAACCCCATCGAGGCCTAACCACCCAAGGCTACCATTTCCCTTGAGGCCCCGGTTAGCCAGTGCTGTCTCAGTACTAGGTGCTTTTAAATAGCTGCCTTTCACGTATTCCATTTCATATTAAGACAATTTTAGGGGTTTCCCCATAGCCCTTGTGTTCCTTAACAACATCTTATTTGAAGGATTTTTGAGATATTCTAAATTAATCAGTGAACTAGCTACAGTGTCAAACATGCTAACACGCTAAATCTTTTTCTTTCTAGAAACAGCTAAGCAAGTTCAGCAGCTGCAGTTTACTGTTGAGAACAACAAGGACCAGCTTACCTCAGGTCTGTTTGCCCCCCCTGTAGATTTTACTGCTGGTGATGACTCCAAACATCATGTTTAACTTCTGTTTGTGCTGTGTGATCAGTGTCGGAGGCCATGAAGCAGCTGGCACTCATCGACACACTCACCAAGAATATTGCAGCCATCAAATGTTCCCTTGAACACATCATCAACAACAGTGCGTTTACCATATTTTACCATTTTACACATCTGCAGACTGAATTTCACATCTGTGGTAACTGTTTCTCTCTGTCAGGTTCAACTACAGGTGGTTGTTGTCCTCTGGGTTGGACTGTGTTTGAGTCCAACTGTTACTTCTTCAGCAGTGATTCTCGGTCCTGGAACCAGTCCAGAGACTGGTGTCAAACACAACAAGCCCACCTGGTCATTCTGCGTAACGACAAGGAGTGGGTAAGACCTGCCCACACCTGTCACATGACCTACTATGAAACACTTTTTTGCAATATTGTGCAATATTGTATTGTACCACAAGATGGAGTAGTGAGTCAATGTAATTTTTATTTAAACAGCTTAGTCATTAAATACAAATTCTTCACAAACAATATATTTTTTGTTGTTGTTGTTGTTGTTGTTCTTTTTCCAAATGCCGTCATTGTCTCTTTATCCAGGACTTTGTGACCCGTAATACAATCCCTCAATTGTACTGGGTCGGTTTGTCTGACTCCAGAACTGGGAGGTGGGAGTGGGTGAACCAGACACCATACAGGATTGAGCGCAGGTCTGTTTCAGTAACAAAAAATATAAATTCTCTGTTATTTTCTCCTGTCATGCTGCATTAACTGTGTACGGCCACTTAATATCAATTAACTCAAGACACAAGGATAAAAATGACTATTTCTTGCATTTATAAAATATTCTCTAACCTGCAATTTAAAACTCATGGTCCAATTAAAAATCTGAAAACTTTCTGTTACATTTTCTCCTGTTTACCTGTGTTCCCCTTGATGAATGTGCCTTTTCAGGCGATGGAGACCCGGGCAGCCTGACAGCTGGACTGGGCACGGTCTTGGAGGGGATGAAGACTGTGCTCACCTTCACAGTGATGGACGCCTGAATGACCACCACTGCTCCACCAGGTTCC